AAAGCTGGCGGAGCGAGCGGCATGTCCCAGGGAGGAACGGGCGTCATTTACACCCTCCACCCAAGCATCTGCGCACACACCGGCACCGCAGCCATGGCGACAGGAGCCGCTGCCGGGCCCACTGCGTGTGGCCATGTGAACGCCACGTCACGCGGGAACTGGCGCCCATTTCCTGGTTATGCTGAGCGTGCACTGAGCCGACCGCCAGCGTCACCATGAAGGGTGAGACCCCAACCACCTCCCAGATGACCAGCGAGCCGCCGGGTTCACCGGCCCTCACCTGGGGAGCTCAGGGCCCTCACCTGGGGGGTCTCAGGCCCTCACCTGGGGAGCTCAGGGCCCTCACCTGGGGGGTCTCAGGCCCTCACCTGGGGGTCTCTGGGCCCTCACCTGGGGGGTCTCAGGCCCTCACCTGGGGGGTCTCAGAGCCTCACCTGGGGGGTCTCAGAGCCTCACCTGAGGGTCTCGGGTCCTCACCTGGGGGTCTCTGGGCCCTCACCTGGGGGGTCTCAGGCCCTCCCCTGGGGAGCTCAGGGCCCTCACCTGGGGGGTCTCGGGCCCTCACCTGGGGGGTCTCGGGCCCTCACCTGGGGGGTCTCGGGCCCTCACCTGGGGGGTCTCGGGCCCTCACCTGGGGGGTCTCGGGCCCTCACCTGGGGGGTCTCGGGCCCTCACCTGGGGGGTCTCGGGCCCTCACCTGGGGGGTCTCGGGCCCTCACCTGGGGGGTCTCGGGCCCTCACCTGGGGGGTCTCGGGCCCTCACCTGGGGGGTCTCGGGCCCTCACCTGGGGGGTCTCGGGCCCTCACCTGGGGGGTCTCGGGCCCTCACCTGGGGGGTCTCGGGCCCTCACCTGGGGGGTCTCGGGCCCTCACCTGGGGGGTCTCGGGCCCTCACCTGGGGGGTCTCGGGCCCTCACCTGGGGGGTCTCGGGCCCTCACCTGGGGGGTCTCGGGCCCTCACCTGGGGGGTCTCGGGCCCTCACCTGGGGGGTCTCGGGCCCTCACCTGGGGGGTCTCGGGCCCTCACCTGGGGGGTCTCGGGCCCTCACCTGGGGGGTCTCGGGCCCTCACCTGGGGGGTCTCGGGCCCTCACCTGGGGGGTCTCGGGCCCTCACCTGGGGGGTCTCGGGCCCTCACCTGGGGGGTCTCGGGCCCTCACCTGGGGGGTGTTAGGCCCTCACCTGGGGGGTGTCAGGGCCCTCACCTGGGAGGTCTCGGGTCCTCACCTGGGGGGTCTCGGGCCCTCACCTGGGGGGTGTTAGGCCCTCACCTGGGGGGTGTCAGGGCCCTCACCTGGGAGGTCTCGGGTCCTCACCTGCGGGGTCTCAGGGTCCTCACCTGGGGGGTCTCGGGTCCTCACCTGGGGGGTCTCGGGTCCTCACCTGGGGGGTCTCGGGTCCTCACCTGGGGGGTCTCGGGTCCTCACCTGGGGGGTCTCGGGTCCTCACCTGGGGGGTCTCGGGTCCTCACCTGGGGGGTCTCGGGTCCTCACCTGGGGGGTCTCGGGTCCTCACCTGGGGGGTCTCGGGTCCTCACCTGGGGGGTCTCGGGTCCTCACCTGGGGGGTCTCGGGTCCTCACCTGGGGGGTCTCGGGTCCTCACCTGGGGGGTCTCGGGTCCTCACCTGGGGGGTCTCGGGTCCTCACCTGGGGGGTCTCGGGTCCTCACCTGGGGGGTCTCGGGTCCTCACCTGGGGGGTCTCGGGTCCTCACCTGGGGGGTCTCGGGTCCTCACCTGGGGGGTCTCGGGTCCTCACCTGGGGGGTCTCGGGTCCTCACCTGGGGGGTCTCGGGTCCTCACCTGGGGGGTCTCGGGTCCTCACCTGGGGGGTCTCGGGTCCTCACCTGGGGGGTCTCGGGTCCTCACCTGGGGGGTCTCGGGCTCTCACCTGGGGGGTCTCGGGCTCTCACCTGAGGGCTCTCGGGTCCTCACCTGGGTCCCCCCGGACAAGGGGTGGCCTCTGCCGCTCAGGGCATGTAGGACTGAGGTGACTGCAGAGGAACTGCAGGCATCCCGTGTGTAACACGCGGAGTTACACATTAGCAGTAAGAAGAGAAAGAAATCGCAGTGTGTGCTAGTAGGTTTTTTATTGTGTGTATATTGGTAAGTGCGTGCGTGAGCGTGTGTGTGTGCGTGTCTGCAGACACACTCAGAAGGCAGCTTCATACAGGCTCCCGAGGTCACAGCGGCGGAGCATGTGGGCCTGGTCACTCGTCATGCGGCCCCGCCAGCCAGGAGCAGCCCTGGGCTCTGAGCTGAAATGCGGGTCTGAGTGGGAGGGACCCAGGTGGTCCCGGGAGCCTAGCGGGAGAATCGCTATTTGTACACCGTTTCCTGGACGGGCCTGTTATCCAGGGGGAGGCAAGACCCCGGAGGCCTCGGCATGCGGGGCCAGGGGCCGGGGAGGGGTCACCAGCTTCCGGTTCTTGGGGCCACGCTCTCAGTGCTGGGGGTGGCGCTGGTCACTCCCTGTTGCTTCCTCTGCAGCCCAACCTGTCCGTCCGTCCGTCCATCCATCCGGCGGTCCTGTCTGCTCCCGCAGGAGGAAGGGGCAGCTTTGGACATAGGAGCTCAGGCACCGAGGGTGCTTCTCCCGCCCCGGCCCGCAGCCCTCCTCCCTTCCCTCCCTATGAAATGTCTCCTGAAGAATGATGGCCCAGCCCTGGCCGGTGTGGCTCAGTGGATAGAGCGCCAGCCTGTGGACTGAAGGGTCCCAGGTTCGATTCCAGTCAAGGACACATGCCCAGGTTGTGGGCTCGATCCCCAATGGGATAGAGAGGGGAGTGGGTCAGCTGGGTCCCAACTCCCCCACCCCATGTCCCCATGTCCTGGGAGAGAGAGAGAGGGGGGGGGCGGGGAGACAGGGGATGTCCCAGCCCAGCCCCTCCTGGGGGAACTACCAGGCACTCCTAGCTTCTAAAATGGATGTAAATGTCAATGTTCAAATAAAACCCTTTCTCCAGTCAAACGCCACATGCCACATAAACAGCACTGCAGAGCGTTGTACAACCTCCCTTTACAGGTGCCGCCCTTTAACGAAGAGGCTGTTGCCACTGCGGGCAGCGTGGGGCTTTCCTGTCGATTTCTCCTAGAAAGATGCTCCGATGGCGATTAAACCTGAAAAGTGTGTCTCGGGGGGAGGTGAGAGGGTTATCTTTGCGAATAAGCACAAGCAACTCGCATCCGGACGCAGTTTAGTTCCAGAGCAGCATGCGAACAGCGGCCGGGCCAGCCTCTGGCCTCGAAGGGGAGGTCAGACCGAGAACCCGCATGTTCCGCTTCTCTGTGGGCGTCTGTGTCCCTGTTACTCACACACACAATGTCCTGCTGCCCAACAGGACAGCCACCGCGGAGGAGAGAATTTTTGCAAAAACACACAGGGCCACAAGGGCCACCTCCCTCCAGTGACCAACCATTTCCTGGAAAATAACAGAAGCAGAGGCAGAATGGAAACTTCCCCAACTGCAGCTTTAGGTATTCGAAAGGCAAACAGCAAAAACTACCAGCTTCTAAAGTCGTTTCTGTTCCTTCAGCTGGAGAACAAGGCAGCTCTGAGCCCTTTGTGTGAGGGCAGCTGTCCCCCCCTCCCCCCCAGGGCCACACTATCCCTCTCCAGCCGCCGGGCCTCAGAACTATATTTAGAGACACAGGGAGACCTCACTCTGCAACCCAAGGCCTTAAACGAGGGGGACCAGGCCTCCTGAATCGAAAGCTAAACGCTGGCTCACGTCCTCGACCAATTTCAAATGTCTGATGATGTGGATTTTAAAAAATCCTCTGTAAGGACCGCGACG